CAAGCCGCCCGCGCATGGTAGCTGTCGAACAGGCCAAGGCCCCGAACTTCATCTCTTTAACAGCTTTCGGGGCCCTCTTAACATCTCAAGGCTTTCTAGCTTTTGCCAGCTGATGGTCACTTGGAGGCTTTAGCCCCAAGCATTTTGAGATTCTGCCGCAGACAGCATATCCACGAGCTGGCCCGGTCCCAATTCCGGGGGGAGAACTTAGATCGTCTTAGACTGCATCTTTCACTCCTAAGTGTGAGGGTTCTCGTCTTTCCGCAGGACGAGGGGAGTCTGATCGTGCTTCGGCACTTCAGTCGAAACAAGCGGATGGCAGAGGGTTTAATTCGGAAACACTCATATCGTCGGGCCTGTCACCGAGCCTTAAGGGACGGTTGCGCAGTACCATATCGAAGGACAAATTTGCCTCTAAGCCAGGCACAGGCAAGCGCAGGCACGGCTGCACCTAGTGCAAGCCAAGAGACTAAGGAAAACATGCATGCTCAATTTGCACCGCAGCTTCCTCTTAGGCAACCGCGTAGGCGTCACCCTAGAGGCGGTCGCGAAGCCAAACCACTGCGGGTTTTCTCGTGGAATGCAGGTGGATTAAGCCAGCAATTGTGGGCAGAGTTCAAGGAGTGGCTGCAATATCAGCAGGACCTCGATGTTATCTTTATCCAGGAAACCCACTGGACTACATCCTCCCAGTTTAAAGTGCACGGCTGGACAGCTGTTTCAGGCGGGCTGCCGGATGAAGAGCTCGTGAGGTCTCCTCCCGCTCAAACATCCCAGCTACCCTAACAGCCAAAGCACAGGCGCTCTGCAGGTGTTCTCACTCTACTATCGCCTAGCATAGACTCAGCAACACTACGCTGGCAGGATCTACACCCAGGCCGTGCTCACGAGGTTCACTGCGAAATCCGAGGCCATCCAGTGCTTCTGCTCAACTGCTACCAGTACACCAAGCAACGAGGCATGACGGAGCAGGACCACTATGCCACCCAAAGCAAAGTTCTCTCCTCCCTAAGCAAGTCCCTTACCAACTTGTCACAGCGTACTGTTCCGGTACTGGCGGGCGACTTCAACTCTTCCCTAAAACCAAATCCCCCCTTTGTAGGGGGAGTGGTGCCAGCAGGATCTTCTAAGCACAAGCCGGTTCAAAAGCAGTTCCAGAAGTTTCTTCAGCGAAACTCCCTAGTTGCGCTTAACACATGGCAGGGGCGCAAGGCAAACACTTTCATCTCGCCACAGGGCAGCTCTCAGATAGATTTCATCTTGACCTCCAAATTCTACGCTGCTCAGCTGGCCCGCAAAGTGTGTGTCCTCAAAGACTTCAAGCTGGGAGCATGGCGTAAAGGTGGCAAACACATGCCACTCAGGACGGCAATACCCCTCAAGAAGGTCTGGAGACACCCGTTCTCGACCAAAACTCAACCGGCAGTCCCTTCCAAACAAAAGTCCCTACTGGCTCACCATGTTAGACAAAACACTCCTCTGGCCCAAACCCTGCGGGAGCAAGTTGCAAAGGATGTCGACAAACTCCGAGCGCAGAAGAATGGCGAGCCTCTTCACCCTGATGAGGTCAACGAGCTTCTTCTCGAACATGCCAAGACTTTCCAGCCGAGGGACCCAGAAGCAGGCAGCTCGGACGCAGCTCCGACAGCACAACCTCTGTGGCGGCTTCATAACCATCGGCAGACTGCGCTGCGAAACCTAAAACGTGAGGACGACGTCATAAATAAGATGGCTCGCACCGAGCACCTCAAACAGGCTCAGCGCTCGCTGGACGAGGCAGCCAAGGCACATGCCATCCAGATAAAGAATCAGGCCCGAGAAAGAACTCATCGAACTTTGACAGAGATTTCTGAGAAGGTCAAACGAGATCCACATGCGGCATATCGCTCCTTAAAGCATGTAGCTCCTTGGTCTCCTGCACCAAGAGTCTGCCTTAGATCGCCATGCGGCCGCATCCTAACTGAGCCTGAGGGACTGGCAGAGTTAAAGAGACATAGTCTTTCCATCTTCTCCTCGCATCCCCCCCTAGCTAGTGGCGTAGGCCAAGCCTTGCCCAAGCTGGACAAAAGTAGTCTGTCCAAAGGCATAGCCTCTATAAAACCGGAAAAGGCAGTACCGCAAGGATCTGCCCCCGCATCCATGTACCGCCTTTGTGCTTCCACTGTGGCCAATAACTACTGCGACTATCTCGAAGCGGTGCCTCCGCCTCCCGCTCCGACCCATCAGGCGTGCGAGGTCACCTCCTGCCAAGGGAAGCGCGAGCCTCAGCATAACACAGCACCAATGAATCCAGCCGAGCCACCCTCGCTGCCAATAACAGCCAAGTCAGCAGACCTTAGCTTCATACCCAAGCCCTCTAAACCAGCCTCTAAGCCGGAGAACTTGCGACCGCTGGGCATCATTAGGCCAGATGGCAAAGGAATAGCCTCTGAGGCTAGGAGAAGACTTGACCCCCTCTTTAAGAAGGCCCACTTTGCTTCCCCTCAATTTGCCTACATTCCAGGACGCGGTATCGCCGATGCCCAACTCCGGGTAATTGGCCACGCAAGGCGCGTCCGTGCCATGCTTCGATCCCGAGCACCAGACAGATTCTGCACTCCCAAGCGCACGAAGGGCAAGCCGGACCTAATCGGAGGCTTC